TGACAGAAGCTCGAAGTAAGGTACTATTTCTGCAAACACATCCTGAACATGCAACATCCCAAAACAAATGTGAAGGCAGCACTGCAGATACAGGGCATTGATCAAACATTTCTGCCATCACTTGCATCACTCTTCTTAAAGCACTTTGGAATTAAGCAATAATTTTAGAATTCACAGTAAACCACAATCACCTCTCCTTATCCGCTCTCCCTTCCCACCAGCTCTTTGTTTCAGTCCCATTCAGAGAAGAAGATCAATAATTTGGTTTCTACTTAGGAAAACAAGGACTTTGGCCTTAAGAACCTCTTTTGTTCAAAGTTGCTTGGATTTGAATAGCTGGTCACCTGCATTTGTGGAAGCTTCTTCACTGCTAACTATCTGCTAAGAAAGTATTCTCTGGACACATTAATTTTTTCAGATCTACCCGAAGGCTGTGCAGCTTCAAAATACTTTGCAGAAAACAAAATGAAGGTTTTACTTTTACATAAGACAGATACAGCTATACTAAAATTAAGTAGTCACATAAAATAGCCAGTGGATTCATCTATATGGAACCTTTTCGAACAATGCTTTGTACTGGATCTCTGCAGTGGTATCCAGTTCAAACCGCGTGTACTATTGATTAAGGACTGGGGAAAAAACCCTGAAAACCTCCCTTGACAGAGATTTTCAAGGAAGAATATTAGCATCGAGATAAACCAAGGTCTCTCGCATCTCCTTCCTTCCTAAACAATCACTGCAGTCTTTAAACAAAAGATGCCAGTAAAATGCGGTTCTTTATGGCGCTGTCCTCCACAGCCACAAGAGGGGGTTTGAAGAACGCGATCTGCTCCCCACTGCCAGCCTGAGCCTTCCCTTCTGCACACGGTCTGTTAGAAGTAACATGAAACCAGCGATTTCCTGAAATGACTGAAATTTGCAGTCATTTTTCAAATGACTCCTTCAATCACTCATTTGGTAAAATGACTAAAAGTTTCACGTGTTCTACAAAGTGACTGACGTGCTGCAAATTCCGCCAGTCTGTTTGACTGTTTGCTTCCCCCAGTAACAGGCATATTGTGAAAAGGGGTGTTATTGGATAAGGATCCTTTGCTTTTTTTCTTTACTGGCTGCTGGAGATGCCTCTGGATTTTGAAAGTAGCTTCAGAAATGAACTTTCCAAAAAGTATGAGAAGTGTCCAAAGTGCTTGATACTAAAGGAAAGATATAGTACAGCTATCACTGAGATCAAAAAGGCAAGCCAAGATCCCAAACTCAAATCAAGATTTGAACACTACTCACTTGTAAAGTAAGTTTGAAAAAACAGTCTTTTTTCTTCTCTCTCTTTTTTCTTTATTATTTTTTCTTTCTGCTCTCTTCACAATTTGTGTCTTCTTTGATTATGAAATTTCTGGTTAGTTCTTTTATACTTCCTCCACTGGTCATAGGTGTGAAATGTTATGGATGGTGACAAGAGCCAGTTAATCAAAAACCACTGGAGTAAAGAAGCATTTCCCACACAGTGTGTGAATGTTGAAGAGAGGTACGATACTGCCAGAAAAGCAAGAATTATTACCTGTTCTTGTTATAAATCATTTATCATCGGAATATGCAAACATCAAAAGACAGACTGCTGAGCTCTTGAGATTTTTCTGTTTTGGGTGCTAAAATCCTTGGCCAATGACCTTGCTGTAAAACTGACCATTGGAGCAATGAATACTCATCAGAGGCCAGGCTGACTTTATTGTTCTGCAATCTCAAGGCAATTTTAAGGATGTAATGTTGTACGAAGACCACCTTAGATTTTGTGTTCTCTGAGCCTTTACCTCAGAGGGAACCTGAAACAGCCTTTCAGTTTTTCAGTATTTTTCTTCTACTTGGCAACTCTTGGTTGTGTCTTGATAACACTACTTGGTTGGGTTGCAGAGTGATAAAAGAACTGAAATTGCTGCTGAAGTCATCTAAGAACTGAAGCTTCTGTGGCCTTCACTTGGCTTGGTGTATGGAAAATCAAGATTTCCACAAATCCAGGGGTCTCTCAAAGGGGATAATAAGCAAATGCTCTTAGCACGAGTGTCAAACAATAATTCATGGGTCTGGACTGAGGTGACTCACTTTGCCCAGCTCTCAAAAGCACCACCCATCAATCTGGTATGCAGCTTGGTTCTGTACCAATCCCAAATGTGGGCATAACTCTGCCTTTCTACTATTAGGGATCATCAGCCACCTCCACAGTCAGCAGAATCTGTAATCAGTGTTCAGTGCTCTTTCTGATGACACTGGTACACCCACATCCCCAGCAGACACACTGCTCCCCACGCCTGATACAGTGCTAGGCAATCAAATGGGAAGTACTGCTAAACTAAAGGTTAAACAAATTCCTGTAGCTCAAGCTGTCTCAGAATGGATTCATTCAGATCCACCAAGCTCTCCATCCACCAATACCCATGAGCTAACTGGTCCTTCACTTTTAAGGCACCTTGCCAGCCACTTCCTGCACAATCCTGCCCTATGTGCTGCCCTCTGCCCTTGTCAGCTATTCTGGCCAGCAGGAAGGAGCCTGGGCAGCGCTTGCTTTGCAGGCAGGGCTCTCAGTAAAGCACAGTCTTCAGAGAGAGGAAAAGCAAAATGGAGAAAATATTGAAAAGCTAAATGGAGAAAATACTGATGTTACAGTTACCTTAGTTATGAAGACAAGTTCAGTTCTGGCATGTGAGACTGGAAGATTTCAGGAATAAATGTGGAATAAACATCCATATGGCTTTAGAAGGAAATAAATTACGAAAAGCTAATGTGTTGTCTTTTTAAGTAATTCCTGTCATAAGGTATCAGGTATTTCACATGGTTCGTCCCTACTTGTTTCCCAAACTTCATTAAAGGTGTGAAACTTTCTCGTATTTCAGAGATTATCTGAATTAAGCAGCCATTTTGTGAAATGGTTGAAAATTTTAATCATTTCCTGAAATGACTGGTTTCAAAACATGACTGTAACATATACAACTCTGGAGTCACCCATTTCATTTTCAGTAACATATACTTCCCAGGAAGGCACATGGAACAGAAATATTACCCATAGCTTCAATTTATGCAGTGCTGAAAGGGGAGAAAAGGAAAAGAAGCATGTGTTTTAAACCCATTAAGACATTTTGAGCTGTACGAAGTGAAAATTGTTCTCTAATGATACAATATAACATATCCTAAAGTGGATTATAATATACACCCTCCTTTGTAGTATATAGTTAACTATAAGATACCTTCCTGGAAGGAACTCGAATATTTCGAGTTACATAGTTTAGAATAAAATGAATCATCCAAGTTGGGGAGTTTTTTTCATGCAGTCCTATGTCTTTTGAAAGAATAGCTTTGATGCATTTTGTTTTGCTTTGCAGTCCATCATAGGATTGTAAATAATGGCTCCCTCACCTCTAATGTTTCCCCCCACACTCCCACCTGGTTGTTTTTCTTGAAATGTCTCATGGGTCAGATGTGAGTCTCATAGCTGCAGCCTACCCAACCTTTTCATTAACATCCCTGTTCCTTGCCATTTACCTTCAGTCTGCACATTTTTAGTTCTTTTGCTTTGGTATTAAATAACTATTCCACAATTAAGAATACTGCTAGCTCTTAGCCCCATTTTTTCCTGTTTTTCCTACTCCTTTTTAGAAAACTTAATTGCTGCCTTTTTAACTTCCAGGTTAGAGCAGCAGGGCACAGAAGTGCAGTTCATCAAAGATATTGTATTGATGCTGATGCCTAAGTTGCCTGATGTGGGATACCACAGACTAGCAAAGGTTCATTATTTCATTTGTATTTGACACATGACCTTGAAAAATGTTATAACTATGTCAATTCGAGAGCTTGCCCTGTCATTTTATATGCACAATCCCCTTTCTCCTCTTTTTCTTTTTCTTTTTGCCATAAATTTTCTATCCCCAAGGGGAAAAAAAAAAAAATCAGATAAACGTTATCTGAATTTCATTACAACTGAAAGGTGATATCCCAAAATCTTATGTTATGGAAATCTTATAAACCAAGAGATGTCTGTAGAAAGAGCACTCAAGTTCTGTTAGGGAAAAAAAAAAACAAAAAACAAGCAAAACAAAACAAGAAAACATACAACACAGAAAACCCCACAGTAAACTTATAATTTTCAAAAATTTTTAAAAATGAATTCTTAGCTGTCCACCTGGAGGCATTCTCAGAAGGTCTGACCCAGAATTATTGTGGATTTCCACCACTCTGTACACGTATCTCTTGCAGGTGCCTGTCTGGGAAGCACTGAAAATGTAGTACCCAAAATAATTAGTCACTACTGAAATTTTTGGCCTTAAGCAAATGCTTCAAAAACAACTCGTCTGTCTCCATCAATATTTTCTGAATGGATCTGTGTTCAGAAGGGTGTTAGCAGGAAACAAACATGGTATATGGCTTTGCATGGATATTTGAATTAAACTGTTTGGTGGCCTTTTGAAGCTCTTTAGGAGTCATTGTATGAGGAAGCAGTTGCAGTGATAACAGCTACCAGGCAATAGGAGCAATAAACAGATTGTCAGCCGCCCATTGGCTGCACGATGCTTCCATGAACCATTTGCAGATTAATGTTTATTGACAAGTAAAGCTGCAAAGCTTTGGATCTTTCAGTGAATTATTTTCAAACAAAAGAAGCAGCTAAATATGTCCAACTATTTGGAAGAAATTTAACACTGTTAGTTGCTTAGTTGAGCATAAATTTCAAGTATGAGAATGTATGACTGCCTTACACTGGTTTCATTCTGAATTTGCTGCCTTGCTGAGGATCTGTCAGGAAAGCATAATGTTTTTGCTAAGTGCATCTAAAAGGTAAGTCAGCTTGCTCAAAAAGACGTGGGAAGGAGAGTTGTAGCTGAAAAATCATTTCGTACGTTGAACATGATGAGTCATAAAATAACTTTAAATACCATAAAACACCTTTAAATACCATAAACCACGAAACATTTTCCAAAAAGAGTGCAGTATGTGAACCCGGTTGTTTCCTTTTCCAGGGAGAAGAATGAGCAATGAGATATAGAAAAAGTAAAGAATAATATACAGACTGCTTTGATGGAGACTTGTCCTTGGTATTAAGTGGGCATTAGAAGAAAAAGCAGTGACGCCTTGTTTTCCACTCCTTGTACTACAGGAACTCTGCCATGAAGGAGCTGTAACCCTGACTGTGTACCTTACGGGTTTCCTGTTATCATTGTCTCCTGTCACCTCTAAATGTCCTTTTCCAGGCTGTATCAGAGCCAATGTCACACCAGTTAATGCCATGTTCATGTGCCTAGCTCTTTTTTACAGGTTTTTATGATCTTACCACTGTAACTGTTTCTTCTGCATTATATACATTCTTGAAAAATACTTCAGTTCATTTCAACAGATGGCCATAAGGGATTTCATAAAGAGAACATGCCAGATTAGGAATACATTTTAAAGAATGACAGCCAAAAATGAAGTAATTTTTGTTGACTGAGTCCGAGCAATCTAGACATCTTGCATATTACACCTTGTCATAAGGAACTAAATGGAACAGAGCTGAGGAAGTATGTTTAAGTGTATATGCCATGGAGGGATTTAATTCTTCCAAACTCTTAATTTTTGATGGACTCTGAGAGGTTAGTGAATGATCCTTTAACTTCATTAGCCTTGCACTTTGAACACTGGATAAAGGTGTTTTATTTATTGCTTAAATTGAAACCATTTTTATCTTAAGATACTGGCATATTTTCCTCTGTGAAAGTAATAAACTTTTCATTATGACTACCTATTTCATGCTGGTCATTCCTGTCATTCCTCCTCTGCCCAAACTTGGGCTGCAGTGAAGTCTATTACCATAACAGGAGCTCCTGATTTCACCTGAACTTGTGGCATTTTCACAGGGTGGTGAAAAAATTTGTAAACTTAAGTGGCTTATATCTGAAGTGATAGTTATTGACATTTGATGCTAGGATTTTCTTATTTAGTTTTTGGTTTTGGGTTTGTGGGGGTTTTTTTAATGTTTTTTTCCCCAAAAGCCCTAAAAAATTGCTGTAGTATGGAATTATATGTATATAAGTTGCACTTATTATTCATAACACAGCAAGGCCAGAAGTTATATGTTGCATTTTGTTGTTGCTGCTGTAGAAAAATCTACATAAACATGGGAAATATCCTGAAGGCGTTATTAAGATCTAGTCAGAAAATGGTGTTTTGTTCTCTGGAAAATTCTGTTTCATCAGGAAAAAAAAAAACCTTGGTCAGCAATCTTATATTTGTGTAATATAAGCTAACATCTCATGGAGAAAATGCAATCTTTTCCCTCACAAAAATAATATAAATAATAATAATAAAAAACTTAACAATTTTCCTGATCCCAGAAAATGTTTGTTCAGTGGTTTTCAGGTTTGTGAATACTCTTTGCAAACTGTGATTGCCCTACAAAATAGTAAGTCTTTTCATGGTGGTTTTTTTTTTCCTATTCTCTTCTCTCTTGGTTTTGTTTAATCCTTTTAATAAGGATTCTCTAATTTTGTATTTCAGGTTGCCTTTATTTCACTCTGTATTTACCTCCTATAAGCATTATTACAGCAACTGTCTGTGTTAGTGAATCACAGATCTATGTCTTCTCTCCATGCCTCAGTTCTCCCTGATTTGTAAGTCTTCCCAAAATTATTGCTCCTGCTCACACTCACACAGGTACATCCCTTCCAAGTCCTGTCACTGGAAAATATCAAGATGCAGAACACCTTCAAGATACACCTTTTCTTGTCCATGACAAACAGGCACAAACTGTACTCTTCTCCAGACCTTTGCATGGCAATTACTGCAAAATCTTTTCCCTTCAGTATTTGTAGCTGCCAGCTTGGCCCTCCTATGTCTTTTTAGAGTTCTGCTGCAAAGGTTAAGAAGAATACCTGAAGAAGAGTACCTCAAGGTCTAGGGGGACCCCCCATGAATACACATGTTTGAAGAGAGGTAGAATGTTTGAAAATTCAGTTAAAGAATAAAAAACGCCCTGAATCAAAGTGGAAACCTCACTGTTTCTGGAACATAATGCTTTGTTGTGGTTAAGCATATCAAGCACAGTCAGCTGAGAAGCTGATTTTCACAGGGCAATGGAGACAGACTGACATGTTCATTCTCACCCAACAACACCCCAAGCTATATGTGCTATAACAAAGAACCTGAGACAGTCTTCCTACCCAAGGTCCTTTTCATTACAGAGGGAACAATTTAATTCTCTTTCTTGGAAGAATCTGTGCTCCTCTGTCAGAGAGCAGAGTGGAGGAGATATTCTGTGAACACAAGGTTACTGTTTGTGTCTGTTTGGGCTGGGGAACGAAGCCCCGAAACTCCCCCAAACTCTCTATAGGAATCAGCACATGGAGCTGGAGGGCTCCATAGGGAGCACAGCCCTTTTACACTGCCTCCATAGCACAAGCAATGACTGTACACTTTAAATGCCTGTAGGCATTTACATTTTCAGACCCTTGGACTGTGATTTATTATATTTACATGCAAGGCAAAGTAAAGAACAATACAAAAAGGCTAAGGAGCTGGGGAGAGCTGTTGTCTGCCCAGCATGTTTTCATAAAAGCTGCCCCCCTTCTTGCTTATAGACTGAAATAACCCTTGCAGCTACTGCGTTATGGATGTGTCTTAGGCTTGGGTCATAGAACATGCATGATACCCTGGGGCCTGAATCTGCCTCTGTGCTCCAAGTATTGAGGCTTGTCACCTTGCCCCTTAGGTGCAGCTGATGTTAAACCAAGCATGATTGTTCCTCCACCCAACCTGCCATGGTGGTAGGTTAGGCAAAGACCTGGAAACCTCTAGAGGTGATGGGGGCAACGATGCTTAGCTCAGGACAAAAATTAGAAATGTCCTACAGCAGATCTGTCACAACAGAGAGAGTTGTCCTGCTCCACTAGAACTCTAGCAGCAGTCCTTCTGCAGAAGCTCTGTGCAAAATTACTCACCTTGAGAGAATCTACTTACCGTAAATTATGTTACACACTCAGAGTAATCGAAATGATTTTAGAGATGTCCACTATAGTTCTGGATTTTAAAGTCATTGCAGCAGTTTGAGAGATGAATAATCTCCTTCCTCCTTGGAGTACAGGTTCAGCTCTGTGCCATTTAACCTGTATCCATACTGCTTAAACTGACCACACTTCCCAAGGAAGTCACAGCAGCAGAGTTCAAGAAGTTTTGGACAATACTCTCAGGCACATGGTGTGACTTTTGGGGATGATGCTGAGAAGGGCCAGGAGTTGGACTTAATGAGCCTTGAGCATCCCTTCCAACTCAGCATTGTGATTCTGTGGCTTCTGAGACCAGAATAGCTTAGTTCCCATATTATTTGCATGAAACTTGTTTGTTTAGGATGAGTCTCAGAGCTCTCCACGGTGAGATACCCCACCACTGTCAGCATCTAAGTGCACCTCTTACTCCTCCTTTATATGCTCTCAACTGATAACACTGGTGCGCTACTGCATAAAGCAATAGCTGATATATATCTGGTACTTGGACCCCCCTCCATTCCAGTGTAAATACATAGAACATAACCTGACTGCGCTCTAGCAAGGGCTAGAAACTAATATATGGAAGTCAACACTCAATTCTTCCAAGAGACCTACTCTGAACAAAGACTAGAGGTTTATCCTTAGAGCACGAGACAAGAATTGAGCTCATTTAACAGCTTGGAATCCCATCACGATCCTTCTTCATGAGAAAGACACGATATATCTGTTTCATTACACAAGCTGAATTTGTAATTTGTAATCCTATACTTCTGCTTTTCTCCAACTGTAGAGGCAGATAATGCATTGATTTCAGATGACAGACCTAATAAATGCACAGTTTGTTGGAATCATATCTATTTACTTCTTTATTTAGGCAGTTTAGACTAACTTAAATTAATGTTTACTTATTTTCTTCTCTTGACAAGTAGCAGGATGACAAGAGCTTGTGTTCAGGCTATTCATAGTAGAACACTTTCATATCTGTCATGTTTTTCTTCTCCTTCTCATGACATAAGGGTAGCATGAAGAAATGCCAGTGATCCTTTTTTTTTTTTTTTTTTTTTTTTAATAGTAAATCTAGTCCAGTGCTTCTAGATAGAAGTTTTACATTAATAACTGTCCAGTTGGCAGCAATTTGTCATTGAGCTGCCTTTTATGCATGGCTTCCTCAGATGCTGTGGCCAGATTTTGATCTGGGGAGCTCTTGGATGTGCCTTTGTGATAATCCAGCAAATAATTTAATTTAATTTTTGCATACACTTACAACTAAAAAATATATTTAAGTATTGATGTTTATGTTGTTGCTTTCCCCTACCACATTTACAGAAATGATTTATGGTGGCAGCTGGTTAAGGTGGCTATTTTTGTGTCTCCTGTTGGCCTTGGAAAAACAGCAGGAATTTTATGGCATATCTTCAGACTCCTAACCGAGGAAATGCTGTGTAACCAGTGTCCTCAGTCTATGTGATACTCCTTGTTTCTTTCCAGTCTATAAAATGATGTATGAAATGCAGTGCAGTTAGCTATTTGCAATTCATAAGCTTGCCAAAATGCTTAGTTCATCTTGAAGTATCCTAAGCTGTGACATAAAAAAGAAAATCTTGGGCCAGTAGTGCTCTTGCATGTGATTTGTGTGCCTACCCGGCTGCTCAATGCACTGGAGTTTCTCTGGGCAAAGCTGCTGTCATGGCTCTGTTAAGGCAAAATATCAGGCAGGCTCCACACCTTCTCCCTTCTGAATTTGATAAGAATCCTTTTTTTTATCTCCCTTTTTTTTTTTTTTTTTTTTTTTGTCTGTTTAGGTGATAATCATTGGAATCCGTGTGATAGCCTATGACACCACAGCTGTTGCCAATTCCACTTTCTGTATTGATGTAAGTCCTCTGGGGCTCCAGTGAGGGAACATTTTGAAGCCAGAAGAATTACCCTGTGTGCATTTGGATCACAATGCATTTTTTAAAATATGTATCTTTTTACAAGGTCTTTATTCTTGGAGCAACGAGGAGAAAAGTGGGAAATTTGCCTATATTTCTGGGTAATTTATCGGGTTTTTCCCCTACTATTTCATGAAAAGCACAAAAGTCTTCACATGCTTGGAATAAAGCCAATAGTTTCCATTTCTTTTTGAACAAGAATGACACACTCTTTGATTTACACCTATGGTGTCTGAGACCTTCAACTGCTTTACCTAAAAGATACTGACACATCACAAACTTGTATCTAATACAATTTCTCAGGTTGACTTCTTTAAGGGAAAGAGTAGATCAAGAGAAGGAAAAACAACTGATGGGAGGAAGAAAACGTTATAGGAACTGAAATGCAAATTACAGGTAACTGAAAGCAAAATGCTAACCCATTCCATGTCCTGCTTAAAAGTTGCTGTTGGATTTCGTTTTGGTTTTTTTTTTTTTTCTTAAGGATGATCTTTAATGGCAGGATACAACTTTCCATTCTGTCCTCACTTGAATCTTTCCTGTCTAGGTTAAAAAATAATTCCTAGAATTTATAAACACAAAAACCATTTTCTTCCCAAATCCATCGGGAGTTCAATAAACTCAGCTCTTGATTCACAGGGGATATTTTCCAGGCCTAATCATATTTATAGTATAGGGACAGAGATGAAGCTGAGGCTGTAAGTTGACTTTATCTGGGTGAAGCAAAAAATACTCTGTAATCTCTTCTTTTTTCTTTCCCCCACAAAGGGTGGCATCTGTAATATCATCTACTCTGAATACTGTGTGCATTTTGACTGAGGAATGGAGGT